AAGCTTATTATAAAAAGAAAACAGAAATTTCAAATACATATCTTAATAAATTATTCATTTTTTTCGAAAGATCGAGAGAAGATAAGAACATAACTATTGAAGAATTAGAAGAATTCAATGAAATTTTTAGATAAATTTGATATAGAAATATCATCAATAAAAGTTGAAAATTCCTAGTTAAAAATAGTTGCTTAATAAATATGAAAAAATTGAAATTTTAGACGATGAAAAATTCATATCAAATGAACCTTTTTCCAGAATTATTAACCTTGTCTCTGATGAATTTATAACATTATAAAACGTATGGAGAACTTGTAGAGATAATAATGCGATAACGCTAGTTTCACCTCTAAAACTAAACGTTTTTCCAACCATTCCCGATGATTGTTTATACGCATGGGATTGCGAAACCTATAACGAAAATAAAGCCATACCTTATTCTTGCACGTTAATTAATTTAGAAAAACTAAGAAAAATGTTAGACAAAATAAATAATCTCTTTCCAGATTTAAAGCCGACAGATCCCATTCCAGAAGAATTTTATAATAAATTAATGAATATAGTAGAAATATTTGTAGGTACAGATTGTATCGATCAAATGTTACAACGTTTAGGAAAAATAGATCAAAAAAGAATAACATTAATTGTTCATTACGGTAGCGGTATTGATAACTGGATCATGATCAAAAACGTAAAAAAACTAACACAATGCCCTTTAAAAACAGCTAGAAGAATTCTGTCTCTACCTTTAACTAATTCATTCATCGATGAAGATTTACAGAAAAAATGGAAAAGACAGAAAGAAATAAAGGGTAACTCTAATTATTTGCAAAATATTGATTTCATACGTTCCTATCAACATGAATCATCTAGTTTGGCGAAATGGGGTAATTCATCTAATCTACCAATGAATTTGAGAAAGATCTAGGATGTAGACATTGCATAATACACCAAAGATAATTGGGAACCTTTAAGACACGAATGTACGGAGCCCCTAAGGCGCAATTGTAAACATATTTATTTATTATTTCGTTTAAACGAAATAATTATTTCGTTTTAACGAAATACACTATGTTTATTTCGTTTAAACGAATTAATTTTTTCGTCTATTTCGTTTAAACGAAATAATTAACCCATCTTTTTATTTCGTTTAAAGGAATTAAATCGAAAATCATTTAAAATTTGTAATATATTAAAGGAATAAACAGAAACAGCAGGTGATAATATAATTGATTCATATATATAGCGCTAGCACGAAAGATAAAGGGGAGGTTCATTCGAGACTTAAAAAAATAAAATGTACTAAACTAATGAAACCATTGATGCTAACGGTCTGTACGCTTCCGCCATGTCGGATTTAGATAGCGAATATCCGAGAGCGGAAAGTGGTAGACCTTTTCAACAAGAAGAAAATAAAGAATTTGTTAAGCTCTTTAATGAGCAGAAATTCAGACCTAGAACTGCTATTTTAAAAGTCTGGTTTGAATATCCTACCAACATGTTCTTCCAACCCATACCAGCTAAAGATAAAATTACTTTCACGAATAGAATAGGTAAAAAGGAAACTGGCACTAAAATCAGGTTCAGAAATGGTTTCTGTCACGACGTTTTAACATCGGTCGATATTCAAGAAATAGTGAAAGCCGGTGGACGAATTATTAAAATATTAGATGGTATAGTTTACGAAGAAAATTTTAAAACTCCACCCTATAGAGATTATGTTTTAATTTTGAGAGATCTAAGAAATAAATATAAACGAGAAGGTAATATCGTAGGTAGTTATTGCATGAAATTATTAGGCAATTCATTGTATAGTAAATCTATTCAGAAGGATATAACTACATCGAGACATTTATGGAGTGAAGCGACTTTAAAAGCCAACTTCACACGTTATACACTATGAAAAAGTAAATGATAATCAATATATAGTTGAGATAAATGAAGAAGAAAAAGAATTTGACTTACACCTCCTAAATCTACACGACTAACACCTAGTCATTTGGGATCATTCGTTTTATCTCACAATAAAAAAATAATGAATAATTTTATTCGCGTGATAGATGGTTTTTATAAGCCTGAAATATACTATACAGATACCGATAGTTTAGACATTTCGTCTAGCAATTGGGATAAATTAAATGAAGCTGGGTTGGTGTCCGAAAATGGTTATTGTAAAGGAAAGAATGATTACGGTGATGGTGGAATTATATTTGGTTTATATTTAGCGCCAAAAGTTAAATACAATATCATTCTAAATTCCGACAGTATTCTCGAAGAAAAGGAAACGTTTAAGGGTTACTCTAAAGATAAGATATCCGTAGAAGATTATATTCATTTAGCTAGTGGACACGATGTAACGAATGAATTTAAGAAACCTTGGGTAAAAAGTTTCACCAATGGAGTAGTTATTCCAAAAGATGATGATAAACAAAAGAAAGTTTTTAGAAGTTATCTAAATCTCGTTAAGAGAAAAGCACCAAACAGTGAAGGAATCATGTATCCTTACAACGACGGAAAAGAATTGAACATAGATGAAAACTACGAATTTGATGATTAGGATTATCTAACTATTCAAGAAGAGAATGAAGAGTGTTAATTTTTTTGTTTTAAATGAAGTTGAATAATTTCCTCGTTACCAAAATATATAAACCTATTTTTACCATCTTTGATTTTCAGATTTATATCTTAAATCATAAAGGAATTAAGTGGTAAATACGTCGTTTGAAATGGTTTCTCTGTAATTCTATATCCTATCGGTACAGTGAATGTTGGAAGACTGTAAATAATCTGACGTTTGCAATGTATATTTATGACATCGATATCATTCTCGATATTAGCTTTGTGTGGTGCTAAAGTGGATTGGGTGTATAGTCGTTTATCAAATCCTAGTAACGTATTCAATGAATTTTCTAAGTTGAAATCAACTTGACTATTATTTCCTATTATCAATTTTATTTTGTTCAGATTCAAATTACCTTCCAATTCAATATTTTCTTTTACCATTGACACTTCCTCCATATTCAGATAGGTATTCGTTAATGGCTATGTATTCGTAGCTTCCTGGTAGTAAACGTATGGTTTTGAACGTAACTCCATTATCTGTTGATATTTTTATTTGATTATTTTTTTTCGTTGATATTTCTAATGGAATTGTAAACAGAGAAATACTTTAATCCCAATTCATATTCTTGATTGCGATCGAGTTCGTACTCATAATCTAGAGGCAATTTAATGTCTGATTTATTTGAGGTGATGACGAATCGTTGTTCTTTATTTGACACTTTTAATCACGCTTTTATAATCATTTTTATCTATGATACCTTTTTCTAGGAGTCTTTTTAATATACAATTTACTTCATTATATTGTCTGTGCGATCGATGTCCTTCCTTCATTGCCGATAATATTACTCGTAATCTATTATGTAGTTCCTCGTTGTTGTCGGATAAAAACGTTATACCTTGTCCAGATGCCACCATATCTTCGAAATCGTCTATATCTTGTGTGATTGAATTGTTTTCTTCAGCATAATCATCTGCTTCGTCAACTTCGTATTCATCATCTTGATCAATTACTCTTATATATAGTTTAACTTTTTTCGATCTTCTTGTTTCGGGTCCCGACTTTCTTATTGCATCTAGAAATTTTGAGTATGCTACTAAATCCTTATAATCGGCAATACCAATATCCTCGCCATTCATTAAATCTATTAATCCTTTCGTTAATGTAAATATTAAGTCTTTTGTATCGATTTTGAATAAAGGGGAATTTGGACTAAATATTATTCTAAATCCATTAAACAATAAACCTTGATTATCAACGATTGGTGAAATGCTCTTTGGTAAATCTGGGTCAGAGTTTGAAAAAAGACGATTTATATCATCTAATGTCCTAATTATAATACCATCATATTCAATCGCTTTGGGGTGATGAGGTTCTATCCGTTAATCCGAGTTGTTGTAATCTGTTATTTTCAACTTGGGTCTTTATTTTATTATTTGCTTTGATATATTCTTTATTTCTTTTTAAAATATTATTCCAGTCGCTACTCATTTTTAAAAAAATAAAATTAACATATGCCGATCATAACTCTTTCACCCGCAGGTTTTCTAGTATTTACAAATACATATCCATGATCATCTGGGTTTTTCCCTTGAGCTTTACAAACCTTTTTAAATGCATCTCTGTCCATTCCGTGATTTATCGACTGAATGATTTGAGATAAATCTTTATCGTTTAATTCAAATAATAAAAAACAATTTGCATTTTTTCTAATAAACATAGAATCCATCCCGTAAAAAGATTGGGATTGGTATATGCAGTGACAGTTGTAATGTCTTCCCTTCGTGAACAATTCTTGTTGAACAGCTTGATTTCTTTGCGCAACGCAGTCGTCAAACAATATTAAGTTCTTTCGTTTGCTATCAATATCAGACAAGTCTAGATCATTAACATTTTTTCGTAAGAAAAACTTGTATATCCATTGGATTCTTTCCTTCGATGTAGTTATCTATGATATATTTTATTTCCACTTCTTCTTCGTTTTCTTCGTAATATTGAAATAGGTCTTGAACATCTTTCTTTGGTAGATATTCTAAAGCTTTGGGAAATTGATAATGTGATTGCTCTGGTGTTGTTGTGTAGATATACAAAGAATCGAAATCTAAAAGGTTTGGTGTTGTCAACATGTTAAAAGTGAGATGAGTTTTCCCAGAACCGGAACTACCGCATATACACATGAGCATTGGGTTATTAGGAAATATTTCTGAATGATTACATTTTTTGCCCATTTTTTATTATTCTAATTTGTTCCAAAAATCACTCTTTCCCCTTTATACTTTGAAAGAAATATTCCTTCTCTAGTGTGTATATTTTTTAAAAATATTCCATTATCCCTATGTTTGACTTCTCCCGTGTCAATACTATCTACTAATTTATTTAATCCTTGTTTAACAGTTTTCTTGGTTTCTTCCCCAAATCTTTTTCCAAATTGTTTTATTGTGCCTATCGTTTCTCCCACTCCTGTACCTCGTGCCTCCTTTTCAATTGCTAAATTATGTCTGCGTTCTTCAGCGGCTTTAGCAGCAGCTGCTTTCTTTGAGAGGACTGTTTTTGCTATTCCAGTAACCGCTGCAATACCACCAAATATTAAAGGTAGAAGGAAAGGTAAAAATTCACCTTCTTTTGCGTTCGCGTCAATTCTTTCTAAATCTATATCGTCTCTGACTTTACAATATTTGTATTTATCAATAAGTTTTTTAGTAATAATAATAATAATAATAATAATAATAATTTATTTATTTAAGTGTCACCGTCCATATATACAGAGAATAACAACAATAAAATAATTACAGCATTATAAAATGGACGCCAGCCGGCTTCGACTTATGAGACACCTTAGAATTATATCATAAAACTACATTCAATGAGACAGGTAAAACACAAATATACAAGTAAAATAAACATTATGATAAATAAAAAGGCTCAGGGTATCACAGTCTGTTTTCTACGTTCAAACATTTTAAAAATACATGAGGCAAAATATGGTAAAATTCGTTCGTTTGTCATTAAAAAACACAATTTATTTACATTATTATAAAATAAAAAATCTGGATTAATAAAACAGGCTTCGGTACATAAAACTTTTCTTATATCAGTGTATAATTTACAGTTAAAAATAAAATGCTCCTCATTTTCAATTTCCCCATTATGACATAAAAGAGAGGTTCGGGGGGTCTAACAAATCTTCCAGTTTCAATTCTCAAAGGGAGTGAACCCGCTCTAAGTTTGGACAACACGCGTCTGTGAGCTCTATTTTTAATAATTTTGACATACGGTTCTGTTCCGAATTCAGTTTTGTACATGCGGTATGACCGGAGTTTGTTTCCATTAACATGTGTGCGGTCATTCCATACATCCCTTGACCACTGACCCACTTCCCTTTCCCATAGACTATCCCACACATCATCAATACATACAGCGTCACTTTGATCATTTAATACATGTAGTTCTCGACCGATACTTAATACTCGGTGATCCCAGGAAGACTTACGTCTACTGGCCCATTTATGTACAGTTTTACAAAGAATATTATCGTTGAGTTTAAATATCTAAACAATTCAATCTTAACTAAATTATCACCCTTCAGCCATCCCATGTCCCCCATTGCTGCCAAATTACTACTTCTTTTGCTCAAACCAAGGAAGAATTTGCATGCGTTACTATGCAGCGCATTAATACAGTTATGTGTATTAATACCCCAAATACCAGATGCATAAGTAAATACAGGCCTGACAAGCGAGTCAAATAATTTTGTGTAAACATCGTAGCTAAATCCACCAAACTGTATCGATTTAGTTTTAATCACAGCCAAAGCCCTATTAGCCGATTTTGATAACTCTTTAGCGCTGTATGAATAGTCACAGAATTCGTTCACCCACAGGCCTAGGTATTTATATGCATCTGCGTATTTAACATTTAATTCACCACTATCGAACTTAAGGTTACTTCTAACTATACCAGGGTTTCTAAAATGTACAATTTTTGTTTTAGACTCATTCACGACTAACCTCCATTTATTACACCAATTATTTAGGGTATTCAATAGAATTTGTAGTTTTTGTTCATCTGGGGCCAGAAGAACAATATCGTCAGCATATAGCAATACCGAAATTAATGTGCCATCAATATCAATTCCACAGTTAGCTTCATTTAAATCTTTAACTAGAACATATATTGAAAATAATGTAACAATACACAACCCTGTTTAACCCCTTGAGTAACTGGGAACCACTCCGTTAATGTACTATTTACCTTAACAGAGCATGAAACGTTATTGTATAAAGACGAAATACTATGCAAAAATCTACCACTCACACCTATAGAGTTCAGTTTAAACATCAAACAGTCCCTG